ACAAACTTTGATGATATTTTTCTCTGAGAAAACGCATGTGATCAGTTAAAGAGCTTACTGTAGTTTAGGAGCCACTGCCTGAGTATCACTGCCCTAAAATAACACACAAGCTAATTGATTACTGTGGGATTCCAGCTGCTTATAGTGGTGGTCACAGCACATCAGTGAGGCAGCCTTGCTCCCCGAACATGATGCTTGTGAATAGAGAGTCCAGTTCTCTGTGAAGTTGGCCCTAGCTATCTGAGATATTTAACCGTCTCTACAACCAAGACTTCCCTATATGGTTAATTTGAGGAAGTCCGTAGATGTGTAAAACAAGACTTTATCAGCAGTGGAATTTAGACTGAGGAAACTCTGAAATAGAGAATGACTACAGACCCAATAGCATAATAGAGGGGGGAAGCCCTGAGTGCTGCCTTTGGGGGAGGGCACAATTGGCACTGCAGCAGCTGGCGCAGTCCTACGCGTTGCAGCTGCCTTGCTGTACCTCCGCACAGGCCTTTCCATTTTCAGAACTAAATCCACATAAGTCCATAAATAGTACAAAACTTAATTCTTCAGCGCCTCACTTGTAGGTGCTGGCCATCATGAGAAAATCTGTAACCCTAAGCTAGACATGTAAGACGGTAACTAAAAACTTAAGCACTGTGAGTGAGGAGCCAACTAAGCTGGACAGTAGGAAAGGCTGAGGAGATAGGTTTGTTTGTCTTAAACCCACATACACACATCTCAAGCAAATCCCAGGACGTCATTCTCCCCTTGTACTCGACCTTGGTGAGACCGCCGCTGGAGTACTGCACCCAGTTTTGGGCTCCAAAATTCAAAAAGGATGTGGAGGAGCTTGAGAGAGCCCAGAGAAGAGCCGTGCGCATGATCAGAGGTCAGAAAAACAGACTTTACAATGACAGGCTGAGAGCCATGGGGCTCTTTAGCCTGGAAAAGCGGAGGCTCAAGGGTGATCTGATGGCCACCTACAAGTTTATCAGGGGTGACCACCAGTATCTGGGGGAACATTTGTTCACTAGAGCGCCCCAAGGGATGACGAGGTCGAACGGTCATAAACTACTACAAGACCGTTTCAGGCTGGACATAAGGAAGAATTTCTTTACTGTCTGAGCCCCCAAGGTCTGGAACAGCCTGCCATCGGAGGTGGTTCAAGCACCTACTTTGAACACTTTCAAGAGCAAATTGGATGCTTATCTTGCTGGGATCCTATGACCCCAGCTGACTGCCTGCCCTTTGGGCGGGGGGCTGAACTCGATGATCATCCGAGGTCCCTTCCAGCCCTAATGTCTATGAAATCTATGAATACCTGTATGGGATTTAAGTTCTTTACTGTAGGCTGCAGAAAGGAGTCTTCTTCCATGTGGGATTCACAACTCTGAACCCTCTCCTAGAACAGAGAAGCATATAAAACTTCCCGGATAATCTCACATTAATATTCACCATCCCAAAGGATTTTGTGCTATATTATCACAGGTCTGTCTTGACCATGCAGGGGACTTTGGAGGAAACCAGTATTTTCTCTGCTCTGGCATGTTCAGATTGTGGCTTCAGTCACAGAATGTGGAGACGGTGCTTATCCACTGGACCCCACAGTCAGCAAGGAAGTGGGGAGGGAGGTATAAGGGATCAGAAGGCCCTTGTTGGTATCCTTCACTCTTAGTTCAGAGCTGGTGGCTGAGCACAGAGAGAAGAGTAAACTCTTCCACAAAAAGGAGTAATTTCCTCCTTTCTCAAAAGAAAAGGCTCACAGGGAAGAAACTGAGACTCTGAGTCACAGTACGTTCCCTCCTCTGCCCCACCTTAGTCGAGGCAAATTGTAATGGTCACGAATATGGTCAGTCCTGTGTGTCAGATTTGCTCAATATTGAAATTCATCTCCCTTTGCGATAGAATGTAGCAAGCTCTTTAACAGCCAACATCATGTGATGATGGTGCGGGCTGTTAAGGAGCTGCCACATCCTAAGAAGTTTAAGATAAGATGCGAAGAAAGATGAGAGAGAGAGAGAGCAAGAGAGAGGACCACAAACAGCCTTCTGACATGAATAGGGGGTCAGGACAAATGGGCCTTCCTCTTTTGGGAAAAGCAGTATATTAATTTAATAATTGGAGAAAGTCAAGATCTTTTATATCACATTCAGAATTATGGTATTCCCTTTTACTGTATTGAATCAATGACTCAATAATTCCTAAAAGGGAAAATTGTCTTTGTTACCTCTTGAAGAGTGTGGCCGTTTGGAAATTTAATTTGTGATCTGTAGAAATGAATGGGTAAAAACTTCTCTGGGCAGCAGGTACCTGGGATAGACTTATTTAGTAACAGATGATTCTTTGTCAAACTGTGAACTAAGTCAAGACTTGCTGTGAATTATTGGAAGGTTATTTTTGTGGTCTTTGTTTTGTTGATAGAAACTGGAAGTTGCTGCAGTCATAGCACTAAGGCTTGTGGGGAAAGACCTTAACTAATGTTGTTCATCCTGTTTGTGCTAAATGTTTTGTGAATGCTCCTATGCTTTGGGCTCCATTCGGTATGTATGGAGTTCATAGGAATCCAGTGTATTTTACCCTGTCAGAATTGAGTTCTAAACTTAGATGAAACTTTAGCTGCTGTAAATCAGCACAGCTCCACTGAAGTGAGTGATGTACAAGTCAAAGATATAGTCATGTTTTTGTAACTACAATCTACTATATAGTGTTTAGAGTACAGGGTGTGGTATGTTCCTGCTTTCAGCAAGTAGACGTGTGTTAAATAGAGTTATAACTCTACATAGAAATATATGAAATAGGGCTGTGCAAAGCTTCAGTCCCTGATTCAATTCGGTGGAGATTCAGCCCGATTCGGTGGCCAAATCTCTGAATCGAATCAGGAGACCCTTTAATCTCTCTGAATTGAATCGGAACCCTCCAAATCGATTCGGAGAGATTCTGAAAGATTTGGAGATTCGGACATAGGCACAGCTTTAAATGGTTTTTTACATACCTCAAGGTACCAGATGGCTCGTGAATGCTGCAGTGCTGGGGTGGATGGAGTGTCCCACAGGAGCACGGTGAGGTCCCCAGTGCACTTGGCAGCAGACCCAGAAATGGACCAGAAGCACTTCCAGTCGACTTGCAGGTCCACCGGGGAGTGTGCTGGGGGGCCTGCACCCCCCCAGCTTGGCAATTTGTGCCTCCTGGGTCTGGGGGGCACCCGGGGTCCCCCCATGGCCAATCACCGAGCCAATCACTGCGTGCTCCCTGGTGGACCGGAAGTAATTCCGGCCCACTTCCAGGTTCACCATTGAGTATGTGGGGGGGCCCCCCATGCTTCTGTGAGATGCTCCATCTGTCCCAGCATCGCAACGTTCATGATCTGCACCTGGTACCTCAAGGTATGTAGAAAAAAACATTTAAAGCTGTATCTGTGGCCGAATCACTGATTCTCTGAATCAGCATCGAATCTTCAGATTTGGCTGAATCGAATCAGGGACAGTGATCCAAATCGGATTGAATCTCTGTCCCCGATTCGGACCGAATCTGAATCGAATATGGCCTGCTTCACACACCCCTAATATGAATTCCAACTTTAGCATCTAAAAATAAGAATGTTTCCATGGCTGCAGGAAGGAATCTTCATTTGTGTAAAAGGTTCTTGCACAGGTTCTGTGTCCCACTGAAAATATTCCTAAACCCTAATTTTGAGGTTTGAATAATTCATATGTCACAGCTGTTGGCTAGGGCACATCACACATGGGCTTCACACAAGCACATTTTCCTCTGGTAGGGGAGTTCCCCTCTCAGTTAATACTGTTATGTAACAATACAGGATTTGAATATATGGGACTCTGCACTGCATAGATTCCATAAAATGCTTTTTAAATACACCATTTTTTAACAGGTCTTCGGTTTCCTAGCTACATTCCTTTGCATATTGAGCATGTGGTCATCTTACAAGGTCTCTTGTGTTACTCAGTCAACAGGTAAGTGTCAAATGTCTCAAATGTTAATATGAAGCACAGAATTTATTCAAAATTTATATTTATATCTTCCATGGCAGAGTTGTTATGGAAGGATATATTAACATTTTGTACCCTATTACTCCCTGTATTGATGACATGGTAATTTAATGAATTCAGTGAATACTGAAATGTGTTAGCAGCTACTGGCAGCTGTTAACAGCAAAATAACTTGCATATAATAATCAGTGAATGCTTGATCTCCTCTTTGCCTCCTCAAGAAGAATGTTTCCTGTGTGTCCTTTAATCAAATAAAATAATTTGTTTGCGGCTACCCAACTGACACTAGCTTCCTTTTTAAAGATGCAGCTGTGTGACTCCACCACTGCAAGATGTCTGTGCCATGCTAAATGTGAAACCAAAGAAAAGAGCCAACCACTGAGTAAAGAGAGTGGATATTGTTGCAACTGGACTGTATTCCAAAAGTGTGTGAAGATCTACTTGAAAAACTTGTGCAAAGGAAGGAACAAACAGTATTTGGACCAAAGAAGCTGGCACCAAAATAAATTATAATGGAGAAACTGAATTTCTTGAGCTTTACAGAGAAATGCTATTTTTGTCCTTTGAACTGCTCTGTTGCTCCCGACTAGTTGCAATAAGAATAATAAAACCTCATCTGGAGAGTTTACACTTCTTCATTAGGATCTGTATAATCTTAAAGGTGGAAAAAAGTAATTCTGATTTCTTCCATCCTTTTACAAAAGGGAAATCTTTCCTCTCTGACTATTAACCTTTAACAAAACAACTGCTACACACTGTGCCTGGGAAATCTGCCTGAAATCCTCTTCTACCTCTTCATTTCATGGTCACTGAGATTTTTTGCATTATCTTAGTCAAGACTAGAAAAGACCTTAAAGAACTTATTCTTGGAGGATTCACTGTGAACACTCCCTTTTAACCTCAGAAGTAAACTGGGTTTTTTAGATGACCAAAGACTGTTTCAATGTCTACATTTTAAAATGGCCAAATCAGTAAGCTTAGAAGCTTCTTTTTAGTATCCTACAATACAGGAAAATAGATATCCAAGAACACATACTCAAAGGTTGAGCCAAGTTTCCTGTTTTCCTTCTTGTCAATTTGTATTTGCATACTGGACTTCATTCACACTTATGCAGAATTAACCCATGGAAAGGGGAAACTGAGTTATCCAGGAATTTCTGTCTTTGGAGTGATAAGTATCATTATCTGTTTCTTCAACATGCAGACAGTGGTGATGACTCAACTGCTCAGCCAGGTGTATGCTTTCAGGAACTAGAAACCATTCTCAGGGGAAGTATGTAGCAGAGACAGAACCTCCCCTTTCCTGTGGGTGCAGCTCACCTCCACCACAGCCCTTTTTTTCTAAATCAAACCCATTTAGGCAGGCTGACTAGGGTCCAGGCCCAGGGCAGAAGGTCTAAAGCAAGTTCACTCGATGAGGGACAGGCATAAAGGGCCTTATGTAGGCTCTTTGGCCTCCTGGTTAATTGGAGCCAAAGGAAACATGGGAAGAGCAGCATCCTTTGAGCTGTTTCTTATTTTTTTTTGTTTGCACTAACCTGTGCCTAAACGCCTAGCCTCAGTTTTCGTGATCACTCTCCTTATATAGAATAATAACTGTATATATAATAATCCCTTTTTTATTATATAGTATAATAATTCTATATATAATAACCCCTTTTTCGCCTCAGGAGCAAGCCATTATACATTTTGTCATTCTTTCTCTGTTGTTTTATGTGCTTTTATTTTCTTACTCTCCGCTAAAAGAA